TTCCTTCCTTCCTTCCTTCCTTCCTTCCTTCCTTCCTTTCTCTCTCTCTCTCTCTCTCTCTCTCTCTCTCTCTCTCTCTCTCTCTCTCTTTCTTTCTTTCTTTCTTTTTTAAAGATTTATTTATTTAGTTTATGTGTGAGAGTACTCTATCTGCATGTACACCCTTATGCCAGAAGAGGGCATCTGATCCCACTGTAGATGGTTGTGAGCCACCATGTGGTTGCTGGGAATTGAACTCAGGACCTCTGAAGAGCAGCCAGTGCTCTTAACTGCTGAGCCATATCTCCAGCCCCTACTATGATGTTTCTAGGATACCTTTTAATTTAACCTGCTCAGAAAATTCTTAGTATTTATTTATCATTCCAGTCCATTCCTTTTCTAGTGTTTTGGGCTCCAATTAGTGCATTTAACTTTTCCTTACTGACTTCCCGACTTGCACACTCCACATCATGCCTTTGTCTACCTGTGCACTCTTTGGCAATGATTATTACTATTTCTCATTTAATTCACAGATCCTCTCCTCAATAGGTCATTAATCTGTTATTGAGTTACCACGTTATAGTATTTTTAAAATGCTTTTTAAGCAATGAAATATAACCCACATATAGATGCAAAACAATGTTCTCAGTTGGGAACTCCAGCTGGCTGCCCTTGTTGGGTTCCCCAGTTTCTGCTGATGTTGTAGGTGCCTGATTTGAAGATGTTTTGCTGTCCGTTGTTTGTGTCTATCTGCTGGCTGATGATTTGTTCTTTTATTTTTGCTTGCTATATATACCTGATAGGCTCACTCATTCCAAACCAAATGCGTGGCTGTCACAAATCACTCGCCACAGGACACACACCTAGTACTGTTACTCATATATTTAGATTTCTCTTTGGTAGCTTCCTGTTGCCTCTCACACTGTTTCTTCAGTTCTTTTATGCTTTATTCTTTTACCAGTCTTTTAGCAATTATATGAAGTGCTGTACAACCTTAACTCACTAATTCCCCAAATGGCTGCTTTTGCAATGAAGGTTCTTAGATTAGATTCTTGTGGGGTGGCCACCAGAGAAGACTGTTTGGACATGGCTTGAAACCTATAGAAAGACTTTATTAGCCAGCCGTCAACTCTATTGGGTGTTCAGGATTTCACTGTAACCCCAAGCCTTTCTCAGGGTGAGCTTTTAAGCACAAAAACCATGTCCTGGGTTGACATACTTCAACTAACAAGAAGCCAACAAACAAGGTTAGTACATTCAGAGACTTTCCCAGAACTGTGGACGTGGATGGATTAGGACTTTTAGGTTTTGGCAGGTGGTGCTGTCTACATGCTGAGTTTTACAGCCCAAATGGTACTTCCATCATGGAGTCAGTGTGCTAAGGTGTTGGAGCTGCTAAGGTCTGGGGCCTGTTACAATACTTCTTTCCTTCTTTTCATCCTTTCTCCTTTACAAGAGATATGTGTATAATACCTGTATGTATTTTAATTCTCTGTGTTGTTAGATATTCATACTTGGCATTTATTGGGATATATTTAAGATTTATCTTTTGCATTGCTCTCTCATGTTCCCTCTGTTTCTCAGCCTCTTTCCTGGATCGTTTAACTTGCTCTAAAATCAATTCTTTAGCCAATCATGGTGGCTCACGTTTATAATCCCAGTACATGTGAGGCTGATTCAAGAGGATAAAGGCTCTGCCTAAAAAAAAAAAAAAAAAAAAAAAGAAAGAAAGCAAAGAACTAAATTCTTTATTTTCCTTAACCGCAGATATGTTAGCAAGAAATACTGTTCATTTTCTATATCCACAGAAAACAGAATTCTTTTGAGTTAATTACATCACATTCAAAATTTAATTCCACCCTGCTGTCCCTATGTTCCCATGAAAAGTTAGCTAGCTGTCTTTTTTTTTTTTTTAAGATTTTTTTTAAAAAAAAATTGACTTATGTATACCGTGTTCTGCCTGCATGCCAGAAGAGGGCGCCAGATCTCATTACAGATGGTTGGGAGCCACCATGTGGTTGCTGGGGATTGAACTCAGGACCTCTGGAAGAGCAGCCAGTGCTCTTAACCGCTGAGCCATCTCTCCAGCCCTAGCTATCTGTCTTATTGCACTTTTAAAAATAGAGATTTATAACCAGGTGTGTGGTACATGCCTTTAATCCATCACTCCAGAGGCAGATGGCTCTCTCTGAGTTTTAGGCCAGCCTGGTCTGTGTATTGAGTCCCAGGATAGCCACACCTATGTAATAGAGACACTGTTTCAAAAAATAAAAATAAAATAAAATGTATATTTTCTGTTTCATAGCTATGATGCCCATATTTGTATAAGGTTTGTTCCTATGTGAAATTGATAAGTTGCTCATTTTTAAATGTCCTCTTTTTTTTTTTTTAAACTTAAATACAATTTGAATGGCTGTCATATTACTGGGTCACATATTCTAGTGAATTTTTTCCTTTTAAAGCTGGCACCACTTTTTTATTTATTTGACGAGTGTCAGTCTGCCATTTATCTTACTCTTTTCATATGGCATTGTTGAACAGATCTTGGAATAGTTCCTGCCCCTTCCTTCTTCCTTCATGTTAGAGATGAACTCAGGACCTCCTTCTATGAGGCAAGTTACCTGTTACTGAGCTGTGCCCTCATCCCTTTGAATGGTTTTAATTTTGGATAATATGGTACTTTTGGAGCATCTAATAATAAGAGGTTCATTTAGGTGAGAGGACGGGATTTTGTGAGGGTCACAGAAATCCACCATGGTTCATAATCATTTCTTTGTATCATAGGGCTGAGTATAGAATTGAATTCATTTCTTTAAATTTGTAATTTCTGGCCGGGCGGTGGTGGCACACGCCTTTAATCCCAGCACTCAGGAGGCAGAGGCAGGCGGATCTCTGTGAGTTCGAGGCCAGCCTGGTCTACAAAGTGAGTTCCAGGAAAGGCGCAAAGCTACACAGAGAAACCCTGTCTCGGGAAAAAAAAAAAATTGTAATTTCTGATTTTTTTCCTAATGACATCTTTTATTTTGTTTGATAGATTCTTTCCAGAAGTTTCTCTGTGTGATAGTTACTCTGTCTCTCTTCCATTGCTAGTCTTTGGTGCATTCAGTTCTAGGGATGCTTTTTAATGTTTCTGTTCCTCGTTGGCTTTGTTGTGTTCTCTGAGAGAAGGAACAATATGCTCTTTGACTGTTCTTTTAGAACTTGAACACACTTTTACAGTATGCACTGTTTATGCATTTTATTTATATATTTTTTCTTACACTGGTATCTTTTAAATAGTAGCTAATTGCTCATAACTTCACCTTCTAAAATTATTTTGCATTTTTTGTAACAGCAACTGAGGCATGAAAATTTGGTGAATCTGTTGGAAGTATGTAAGAAAAAAAAACGTTGGTACCTCGTCTTTGAATTTGTTGACCACACAGTTCTTGATGACTTGAAACTATTTCCAAATGGACTAGACTATCAATTAGTTCAAAAGTATTTGTTTCAGATTATTAATGGAATTGGATTTTGCCATAGTCACAATGTAAGTATTAGGTATGATGCCTATTTTTGCCAATCTCCACTATCTAGATACTAATGACTTAGTTTAATGAGATATTTACTTTGAGTTTGAACTAGTAACATAATTGAAATGAACTGTATTACTCTGATATTGAAATTTTTCTAAAAAATCGGATTTCCAAAAAAATCATAGGCCCTACTGAAAAGCTGAAAAGGTACACAATAGATACCCTATTCTTTCTAGCTATATTATGCATTTCATAGTTTGCTCTAGTTACTTAATAGTTATTTATTGTCCGTGCACTAATTTTATAATCTTTGTTCATCTGCTAATTTATTACTCTCTAACACACATTTTAAAGTAAGCGACAGACATCAGTGTACTTTTGCACACCAGTTATTGTGTGTGTACATATCTATATCCATGCAAATTTTTTTTTCTCATTAAACTTGTTTTCATGGGTCTCAAAATTCCGAGACAGATTTCTGGTCAAGTTGTTTCCCTTAAAAAGTACTGATTTTACGCTGGGCGGTGGTGGCGCATGCCTTTAATCCCAGCACTCGGGAGGCAGAGCCAGGCGGATCTCTGTGAGTTCGAGGCCAGCCTGGGCTACCAAGTGAGTCCCAGGAAAGGCACAAAGCTACACAGAGAAACCTTGTCTCGAAAAACCAAAAAAAAAAAAAAAGTACTGATTTTGAAAACTAATAACTTAAAACTGTCATATGTGTGCACACTCAACACACACACACAAACACAAAATGGTCCGTAAAACCTGCTCCTCTCGCCATCTTCCAGCTTCCTATCAGCACGGTGAGCACTCTTTTCGTGAAGCCCCGCAAGCTCACAAGCTGTGTGAGCTGTGTGACAGTGCAGGACAGGGGCACAGTGCTGACCTGGCCCCGTGGCCCGGGATAAGCGCCTGCGCAGTGAAGCCGGCTGTTCCCACCGGCGGGTCACGTTTGCTGTCACCAGCACCGTTGCCGAGTCCAACTGTTGACAAACACACTGTTAACATTGAAGCCCTCACTGTTCCCGGAAGAGCTGCACTCAGAGCTCCGTGGTGCATTCGGCAGACAGTGCTTCTGCTGTGACATTGACTGGAGCAGAGGGAGCCGCCCTGCCAGGTTGAGGACACCAGTCTTCACTTGGCCCACAGAGGCAGTAACACCACCACCGAGTTGATAGGCATCCTGGAGGGGCAAAGACTTGTCAGTTGGACGAGTTGGTGGCAGGATTCATCCAAAGCTTCCATCAGTGTCCAGTGATGACGATGTTGCTATGAGTCTTTTCCTTTCCCATTTTGTCTTGGAATTAGTGGTGTTCTGATGACAAACCAGTTGTGAAAGAGAAATGTTCATTTTTGATGAGAGAACCGACCTCACTCTAATTTGTGATGAGTTACATCAAAGTATTAGCATTTCCTGACAGTCACACTGGTTTTTCCTACTCCACACTCAAATTCTCCTAGGTTATGTTTCCAGACCCCACCTTCTCCTCAAATTTCTATACCTCAACTGCCCATTCCCAGCCCCTCTTAAGCAGAAACTATCCTAGCACCCGTTTCAGGGTTATTATGTGGTAAAATTATGTAAAACTTCATGTAGTGCCTGACACATGCCTGGTCAAGTGTTTGCTAACCTAGTACTGTATTAAAAAGCTATCATAAAGCTTATCTCTTCCATAACAAACTTCTTTGACTATCCCAATCTTCAACAACAGGTTTATTTCTTGGTCTTGACAGTAGTAATTGACTGAAAGTTGTTGGTTAACGATCTATATTTTACTTAATGTCTTTGCTAGTTTAACTAACACTTGAAACATAAATGTTCTCTTTTGTCCCACTAGGTCCCAGGGCTTTAAGCCCTGGAATAACTTTCTGTGTGTTGTACTCTTATAGGAAGAGGCAGTTGTGCCCTGCTCATGGCAGGCATCCCCTAAAATTAATTTGTTTAATATATTTTATGTTCTGTGGGTTTTTTTGTCTTAGATCATACACAGAGATATAAAGCCCGAGAATATATTGGTCTCTCAGTCTGGTGTTGTAAAATTATGTGACTTTGGATTCGCACGGACGTTGGCAGCTCCCGGGGAGGTGTACACTGACTACGTGGCCACCCGGTGGTACCGAGCCCCAGAACTGTTGGTTGGTGACGTCAAGTATGGCAAGTAAGAGTCAGGAAGGGGGTGCAGAGCCTGCCTTTTGCAAAGTGGGATGTGTTAGCACTGAAGGGGAGGCCTGGGTTCAGCGTTTAGTGAGTGGTTTGTAACAATCCCTAGTGCTTTCTCTCTGGAAATTCTTTTTAAAAAATTCCTTTGAGGGCTGGATGGCTCAGTGATGGAGTCCTTGCCTGCTGCAGTGAGATCCTGGTTTTATTCTGCAGGATATCAGAAAAAAAAGCTTGTGATACAACTTGGGGTAGATATACTTACTTTAAAGGGAAAGCTGAGTAATTTTAATGGTCAGAAAGAAGTATATTTGTTAGTGTCTGCAGAGATGGCCCAAAGGTTAAGAGAGAACAGAGGGCACCTGAGTTCCCAGCACCCACACCGGGCAGCTCACAACTGCCTGCAACCCCAACTCCAAAGGCTCTGATGCCTCCAGCCTCCTTGGGCACCTGCACCTATGTTTACACCCACCCACACACATACACATAATTTAATTAAAAGTTAAAAATAGTTATCATTTGTAAAGAGAAGTTATTATTGATTAGAGAAGTTTTTATTTATTTTTTTAATGTACTAAAGACTACACTCGATAACCTTGTTAGAGTGAGTGATGTAGAAATGGAGGGTGAATAGGTTCTCAGTGGTGGCCAGAGAGTCTTATTTTCTCCTTTAATGTCAGATGGTTGAAGTTTCTGCATATCTCACTTATTAAAATAGAGGGTTAGAATTCTTACAGAGAAATAACTCCAAGTGAAAAGATTTACTGCTGTGCCTCTCAGTGCCAAGAGTACGAACAGGTGAAGTGTCAAGAAGCCGCAGGCACAGGACAGCATCAGAATACCGCGTCTTACATCACCTCGCCTTTTTTCCAGGGCTGTGGATGTCTGGGCCATTGGTTGTCTGGTCATTGAAATGCTCATGGGGCAACCCCTATTTCCGGGAGAATCTGATATTGATCAGCTGCATCATATTATGACATGTTTAGGTAAGAGTGTACTTCTGTGACTTAAATTTTACAGTTTTTTCCCTCTATGTGTTTTTACTGTTATTTAAAGTGTGCATATATTAAAGATGATGCTTATGTTAGGTGAAACAAATAGGAAACACACATATGCACACACACACATACACTGAACACATACACATGTGCACACACAGACATACATGAGCACAGATAAACACACAAATGCATGTCTGAGCGTGCGAATGTGCATGTGAGTGCACAGACACTGAGTCTCTAGCAAGGCTGATCAGTGTAAGAAAAAAGGAAGTGGCTGCTGAAGATAAATAGACTCATAAATCTAATAGGCAGGAAAATTTAAAAATGATCTTAACAAAGAATATATTAGCATACAACCAACTACCTTGATGTTGCTCAAAGTCACTGCTGATTTTAAAATGCTGCAAAAATTACAAAAAGGCAATGTAGTGAGAATTCAGAATAACTCAGAAACGTTACTATCCCAAACCTGGTTCTGAATCACACTCACCTTCAGCCTCCCTCGACAGAGAAGAAGTAACCATCACTTTTTATCGATTGAGTCAGTGAGCATTTGTGAAATCCAGCTATCTTCTTCATCCTTGTCTTCATCTCTAGGATAAGATGAGAGACACAAAAACTTACGAGATAGCTTAATGTTGCCTTGCATTTAAATTTTATTTTTGTCTTCTACTTTCTGAGACAAGGGTCTCACTGTGTAGCCCAGGGTGGCCCCAAACTCTCCATCCTTCTGCCTAAGCCTCTCAGTCTTTATGGCCTCAGTCTGCCAAGGCTATGACTACAGATGTGTATCACCATGCCTGTGACTACAGATGTGCAACACCATGCCTGTGACTACAGATGTGCATCACCATGCCTGTGACTACAGATGTGCATCACCATGCCTGTGACTACAGATGTGCATCACCATGCCTGTGACTACAGATGTGCATCACCATGCCTGTGACTACAGATGTGCATCACCATGCCTGTGACTACAGATGTGCATCACCATATCTAGCTTCCCCAGATTTTGTCTTTCATTCTTAGTGTTTTGGATGAAATTCCAAAGCTAGACTCTGAACCTTACATTTGTTAGAATATAAAATTCATAATCAAATTCTAGATTTTAAAATGGAAATAATCAGAAGATACTTGGTAATTTAATTATTTGGTTTTAAGTTCTGAGATTAGGAGTTTATTAAGTATTACATCATTTCTTACAGTAGAACTTTCATATTACTGCTGTATCACTGGAGGAGCGAGGGAGAATAGAGGGGTTGCATCTGTACTGAATACATTATTCTTTTCACTATTTCCTCATTATTGTATTTACATAGTATTTACAATATAATAGTATAATAAAAAGTTTATAAAATTTAACTTTTTCAATGATAGAGCTCATGATATAATAGGTATCAAAGTTGAGAAAAAGGTTGAAATGCTGAAACTTGAATTTCAACAGAGGTACAGTCTGTTGAATGAACATGGACTTCTCTTAGGGAGGAACTGATTACCTAAGTTGGGTAGTGTGACTGTCTTCCCTGTTTCGGGCACAGGACACATTGTACTGCTGGACAGAAGCAGCAGTGCCTCATCCAGAGCTGCACAAAATGACCCTCTGCCTGTCCTTCCCGGGTATTCACAGTGTTCTGCTTCTAGATGAGGGCCTGGAGAGGTGGCCCAGCTTAAGAGCACTGGCAGCTCTTCCAGAGGACCTGGGTTCAATTCCCAGCACCCACATGGCAGCTCACAACTGTCTGTAACTCCAGTTCCAGGGGATCTGACATCCTCACACAGACATACATGCAGGCAAATCACCAATGCTCATAACATAAAAATAGATAAATTTTCTAGAAGAATATGTTACTAAAGCAGTGTTCATTTTCTTGAGCTGTCTCGTGTCCAGACTCCCAAGTGCCTTTGCAGGAACAGGCCTGTCTCAGGGTGACCTCACAGCTGAGAGAGCCCCACTGTCCATGAGCTGTTTCCCTACACCACCCTCCCTTCACCATTTCTGTTGACTCTACTGACGAAGATGGATGCTGGGTTTTTCCCTAGGGAATTTAATTCCAAGACACCAGGAGCTGTTTTATAAAAACCCTGTGTTTGCTGGAGTAAGATTGCCTGAGATCAAAGACACAGAAACAGAACCCCTCGAGAGCCGCTATCCCAAGCTCCCTGAAGTTGTGATAAATTTAGCAAAGGTAATTGTACTTTTCTTTCTTTGTGATAGGAAATTCGTGTAGTGTGGAGACTTGGTTCATGTATGTGCCTCTCTCTGTCTTTCTCTCTTTCCCTTCCTCCCTCTCTGCCTCCTAACCCCCTTCCCTACTTGATCTTTTAGGTCAACAGTTTCCTCAGATGACTTTAAATCTGTTCCTTGGAAAGACTGCTCTTAGGAATTTGTGCATTTGTTTACAGCTACAGACACTAAATTCAGGGTCTCTGAGACATAAGAACCACTGATGGTCACTACTGTGATTAGTGCTTTATTCTATTCATTGGCTAGAAAGAAGAAATCTAAATGTAGACAAGTGTTCTTGAAGACGACTTGTACGTGTTCTTGATTTTTCAGAAATGCTTGCATATTGACCCAGACAAAAGGCCCTTCTGTGCTGACCTTCTCCACCATGATTTCTTTCAAATGGATGGATTTGCTGAGAGGTATAGTACCATAGTGCCGGCCTGTGCTCTGTGGGCTGTAGTAACCAGTCAAAGGAAAGGCACAGTGTCTTGTTACCATCACCTTTGCAGGATGTCAGCTGCCTGTGTCCTACTCCATTCCCCCTTAGCAGTAATGTAATCCCTAGGGGTGGCTTCCTGTATTTATTAAACTGGAGCTGCTGGTTTTCATGAAACAGTCTCTTTTGCCGTTTCTTCTTCTGTCTTCTGTGATGACATCAACCATTCAGGTCACTCATTCCCATGTTGCTGCATCTGTGCAGTTACCATCTCCTGTTGCTGCCAGACTCTTGCCACAGCAGGTCCAGTGATGCTGCCAATCCTGCCAATGTGCTGAGTCCTTCAGGTGCCAGGCTTGTAGACGTCAATGCTGCTGGCATGGCTCCCGTGCTGCTCCAGATGTTAGCATTAGCTTTGCTGACTGAACAGGAAACAGGAGAGGGGTGGCTGTGACAGTGCTGTATATCTGTATGCAGCACAAATATAGATAGCATAAATATATATTTAATTATGTGTTTGCATGTGCACCTGAATTTGTGTATGTGTGCATGAATGAAGGTACTCTTGGGGGCCAGAAGAGGGCAGCAGATCCCTGGAACTGGAGTTACAGGCACGGTTTCTGACATGGGTTCTGGGAACCAAACTCAGGTCCTCTGCAAGAAGAGTATGAATTCTTTTTGTTGTTGTTGTTGTTGTTGGTTTTCGAGACAGGGTTTCTCTGTGTAACAGCTCTAGCTGTCCTGGAACTAGCTCTGTAGATCAGGCTGGCCTCAAACTCACAGACATCCACCTGTCTCAGGCTCCTGAGTGCTGGGATTAGAGGACCACCACCGCCCGGTTTAGTATGCTTTTCTTAACTGCTGAGTTTAAGCTTTATCATTTTGCAAATCTCTTTAAAAATCTGGCTTAGTACAAGATATCTGGATTCTTACATTTGCTTCTATATTCATTTGTGAATACTGTGATATGTTATTTTAGTTGAAAGAAACAAATGTGTATCTAGAAAAGTGGAAGAGTATTTTAATAGTCTTTTGAGGTAATTTAGTATTCTTTGATTCTGTGTCAAACTTTAATATTATACCAAAAACTGACATTGGTAGGTTCTTCTTTCTTTCTTTTCTTCCCCTTTCCTCCTTAGCTTCCTTGTTTCCTTTCCTTTTCTCCTCCTCTTCCTCCTCCTCCTCTTCTTCTCTTTTTAATTATTCGAAGCAGGGTCTTACACTTTACTTCCGGCTGATCTGAAACTCATTATGTAGCCCAGACGAGCCCTAAAGTCAGTATTCTCCTGCCTTGACCTCCTAAGTAAATTGCTCCTGGAATTTACAGGTGTCTGACTCCATACCCAGCTCAGCTGTAGTGGTTCCTTTATTTGAAATTTACTTTATGTTTATTTGTATGTGTGTGTGTGTGTGTGTGTGTGTGTGTGTGTGTGTGTGTGTCTTTGTCTGTCACATGTGTGTGCCCATAGAGGCTGGAAGATTGTGTTGGATGCCATGGAGCTGAGGTTATGGGCAGTGAGTCGTTAGTTGCCCCCCGATGTGGGTGCTGGGAAGGCGTGTGGGTTCCGGAAAAGCAGCAAGCACGCATAACTGCTTTGACTGTCGGGCCGTCTCTCCAGTCCTCTGAGGCGGTTTCTAAAAGACTGGTTGCATTGTGAAATTTAATCCACGTCAGTGATCTTTTCTTTCTCTGTTGCATTACAATCCATTTTTGTCTGATCTTCTGAATTGATATTTTATCTGTGATTGCTTTTATGACATACTTTAATCATTTGAAGCACATTGGTAATGTTGAATTATGTGAACCTTAAAAATGTTGGTATGTCATTATATAATATTGAAAATTATACTTCATTTTATTAGAAAACTTTTGAACTATGGGAAGATCTCTAAGATCCCAAGTTAATAGAATTGTAATTTTTGCATAAAAGTTTGAATTTCATTGTTTACAGGAATATTATCCATTGCTTTCCTTGCAATGATTAGCTCACCTTGTTCATTTTCAAAGCGGAATGTCTGCTACACACCCCTCTGAATAAGCATGGCTTTTCAGTTAGTCTTTCAAGTGCCAATATTTCATGAAAAACTTGTGTGGCTTGACTTGCACTTGACTTACAGCCGTTCATCCAAGTGCTTCTCCTAAGATGGCCACTACAGACCACGAAGCTTCTCTTCTTACCACCCAGAGTCTGAAGAGAGATGGGACTCCCCCACTCCCACGCACACTCTGACTCTGGCCGGGAGGAGCACAATCACTGCTGGCATGGTTTGGTGAGGGTGTCTCAGTCTTGGTGGGATGCCACCAGCCCCATCCACTCCCATTTTACCCCATCAGGACCAGTGTTTACAGGGCGGCTCAGACATTCTCACGCTAAGTCTCTCCCACGCTCCAAAGCTTTTAGGAACTGTTCATATGGAATGTGATTTTTCTCATTATAAATAAAGTCTTAAATGATTATCTTGATTTTTTCTAGGTTTATCTTTTTTGTACAATTTTGTTTTAATTGAGACATGTACTTTTATATAGGTTTTCTCAAGAATTGCAGTTGAAAATAGAGAAAGATGCCAGGAATAATTCTTTACCAAAAAAATCTCAAAACAGAAAGAAAGAAAAAGATGATGCCTTAGGTGAAGAAAGAAAGACACTTGTGGTACAGGTAAATGTTCTGCTTTAAGGTTTCAATGTATGGAGGAAAATAATGAAGATTTAATTTTATAAAAAATTAGATTTATTCATTCTATTTTATGTGTGAGTATTTAGCCTATGTATGTGTGAACCACATTCGGGCTTGGTACCTGTTAAGGTCAGAAGAGGGCATTGGATCCTCTAGAACCGGAATTTCAAATGGTTTCAGCCACCACGGGGTGCTGGGAATCCAGCCTTGTCTTCTGCAGAGCAGCAAGTGCTCTTTCCTGTGGGGCCAGCTCTCCAGTCTAGCAATGGAGATTTTAAAGTTTTAAAGTGCTGGAGAAATTGTTAACTTTCAACCTGGGTACAAGAAGCCAAACAAACAAGAAGATAATTTCTTTCCTATAGACACTACCTTAAAAAAACACCTTAGTGCCGGGCGGTGGTGGCGCACGCCTTTAGTCCCAGCACTCGGGAGGCAGAGCCAGGCGGATCTCTGTGAGTTCGAGGCTAGCCTGGGCTACCAAGTGAGTTCCAGGAAAGGCGCAAAGCTACACAGAGAAACCCTGTCTCGAAAATCAAAAAAAAAAACAAAACACCCTAATAGATCATATTTTAAATGCTCAGCGGGTACTAGAAAGTGCAATAATGTTGCTTAGAAAGCCACCTTACAAAAAACAACGACTTGTAGGACATAAGGAAACAGCATGTTCTGGGCCATGGATAAGTAACCGTGCCCCCGGAACATGGATTTTAATCCCCCTGCCTGACATGTTTTGCTGTGAGAACGTCACAGCCCCAGAGCAGCCGTTACCAAACACGCTGGCAGGTGTTAGGTAGGTGAGCTACAGCAGAGCACGAGGTCTTTCTGTGCTTTTCAGATGTTATCTCACAGCCTTTAGCTTTTGGATTGGTAGGGCTAGAGGTCCTTTATGCTTAGAGTACAATCCAAGAGTTCACCTGGTAGTCTGGAGGAAGCTGGGTCAGGTACAGAGTTGAAGTGGCTATTAAAGGGACTAAGATAATCCAAGGTAACTTTGTCTTTAGACCTACGTCTGTCTCTCCACAGTCACCGTTTCTCATCCAAAGTCAGTCTGCAAAATCTCTAGTGTGGACGCAGCTTCTTCAGAGCATTTCAGTTCTACACATGTGTCCGAGAACACTGAGCACCTCGTCTGTGTACATACAACACTGGGGAGCATACCTGTACACACCCAGGGACAGACACCACCAACTCCATCTACTTTCCTTCCTTAATAATAGAAAATGAAAATACTACTTTCAGAATTTTTATAACATTTTAAATTCATGATTATGACATTTAGTTAAAAGTTTACTTTTCAGACTGGGTGGTGGTGGCTTGTGCTTTTAGTCCCAGCACTTGAGAGACAGAGGCAGGTGGATTTTTGTGAGTTTGGGGCCAGCCTGGTTTACAAAGCCAGGTACAGGACAGAGAAACCTTGTCTTGAAAAACAAAAAAATAGAAGTTTACTTTCCTGCTAAGTCACTCAGGGTCTGTTCTTGACAGCATTTCTACTACTATCAAGTGAGACAAAAGAAGAGTTTTTAATTTTCTGTTTGCTGACTCCGAATATGTAAGAGCAAGAGCAGAAATCTCTGTTCCTCTCCCATGTTTTCCTCCCTACTGAAATGTATACCCACAGACCTGTCTGTTTGTCTGTCTACCATCGATCTATCTAGCCATCCTCTATCAACCATCTATCCATCATCTCTCTCTCTCTCTCTACCTACCTATTTATCATCTATCAAGTTGGAATGCATCACATACATTCTTCTTGTATTTTCACTATAACTATTTGAATAAGAATCTTGATTTAATTTTCATTCCATAGGTAGAATAAGGATGTGAAGTTTCTTGTCTGATCATTAACTTTTTAATGTCTTTATTAATGGTCAGGATACAAATGCTGATCCCAAAATTAAGGATTCTAAAGTGCTTAAAATAAAAGGGTCAAAAATTGATGGTGAGAAAGCCGAAAAAGGAAGCAGAGCTTCAAATGCCAGCTGTGTCCATGACAACGGGACAAGCCACATCAAAGGCTTGCCTTCCACAAGCCTCAGAGACTGCAGCAATGTCAACATTGATCACCCAAGAAATCCAGGCATGGCGATTCCTCCGCTCACACACAATCTTTCTGCAGTGGCTCCTGGTATTAGTGCTGGAATGGGGACGATTCCTGGAGTTCAGAGTTACAGGTATGAATGGAAAATGAAACAAAAAAAAATGCTTGTTAATTTGTTCACATTGTTTTACTGTCAGAATTCTCGATGCAATTTCTGCTTCTAAAGCAGCTTAAATATGATGACCTTGTGACAGAAATTGTTAGAATTTACTAAAAAAGGAAAGAGTTCACCTGAGCCCTAAGACAGTCAGATTTTACTGTTGTTCGTGATAAAGAGAATCTACAGCTGGTTAATAACATGAGAGGCTGTCATTAATGAGAAGACTAATTAGTTTTGAGTCCCTGCTGCTGCGTGTACTGGTGGTGAGCATTTTGTGGCACACAGATACTCCTTTGGGCATTTTCCTGAAAGGGGCAGCTGTGGGAAGCCCGAGTGGTGTCATAAGAGGTCGGGTGGCTCACCAGATTCCTGTGTGTTGTGTGCTTGCAGATAAATACTAAGTTCTGCATATCTTTTAGCATGATGTCGTTGATTTTGTGTTTGAAAAAAATAATTATTGATAATTCTAACTTAAAACCTTTGTTACAGAGTGGATGAGAAAACTAAGAAATACTGTAATCCATTTGTTAAACCAAATCAACCTTCTCCATCAGGAATTTATAATATGAATGTGACCACATCCGTAAGTAACAGTTCTCAGCAGCAAAAGAGCAACCACTCATCACTTCTAGACCTGCATTGGTCTTAAACATGAGAGTGAAGAATTAAGAGTTTTATTTGGAGACATAGAGTAAAATCTGAACATACAATGCCATCCTAACTTGTCATAGCCATAATTTGAAATTCTGAATGTTTAAATAAATTTTCTAAGTCTGAATGAAAGATTCTCTTAAGATGCCATCTCATTTCTTTTCGGCAACATAAATAAATTTTTTTAACCTAATGCTTGCAGTTGAGTTCTTTTTAAAGAGCAAAAAGAAGATACTTTGTCTTATTATCTTACTAGATTTTTAGTGAAAGTATTTTGTGTAATCACTTCAGAAACATTTTTGAGAGTTCTATTGTATATAAGATACTAGTACTGAATTGATTCAATCTTGGTGGAGTTCAGGGTCTAATAGATCATCAAGGTAAAAACATGATGGCAGGTCGGGTGGTGGTGGCGCACACCTTTAATCCCTGCACTCGCAGAGGCAGGCGTATATGTGAGTTCGAGGCCACCCTGGTCTGCAGAGCTAGTTCCAGGACAGCCAGGGCTATACAAAGAAAGCCTGTTTTGAAAAACCAAACCAAACCAACCAACCAACCATGATGGCAGATTTTAATGTGAGAATCATGTATGTGGTTCAGAGGTAGCATGGGAAGGAGCATCATGCTCTCAGCAAAGCCTCTAGAATGCTGGTCCAAGACCATGCCAAGTAGTTCAGCTTTTGTTCTGATGAAAACTCTCAGTTGGCCTCTGTTCTCTGTGTAAAGGTCAGAGTCCTTCTTGGTATAATAAGTCCTTGCATGAGTCACTTCCCTAATCCTGTGTCCCATCTCTGTCTATATGTTCCTTGATCTGTTCCGCTGTAGATTTCCTTTCTGCTTTGATGTGATGGCCAGATACACCCCTGCCTTTGGGCTTTTACACTTATTATTTCTCCTTCTTTAGAACGTTCTTCCCCTAGATAATCCTCTAGTCCACGAGAAACGGTATTCTGAGGCCTTGTTTATTATTGAAGTCATTTTAATATGGCATCTAGTCCTCCATCACTGTCTGGACCCTCTCCTTACCTGATTTCCTTACACTGTAGGTACCTGGTGCCCCCTGTGTTGTAGAAATATATTGTCTTTGCAGTGGAAAGTAAACTTCCAGCTCAGTGATGTGTGCTTTTGTTCTCCTCACTGATCCATTCCATCAATTACAGAATGGTTAGTCTGTTAGAGCCGCTGGAGAGTTACTCCAAAGCTGAGTAACAAGATTATATTGAGACGGTAAACGTGGGGGCTGGATAATATATATGAAGACCAGCTGGTCACAATTAAGGTAAAGAACAGCATTTGTTTGCTGAAAAGCCCAGGCAGTGGTATAAGACTGACCCTGCTGGTGTAGAGAGCCAGGGTGTCATGCCCATCTTCCGTGCCTGTTGCTTGCTGGGACTTCCACTGAAGATTGGCAAAGGGAGAGAAGAAACTAGAGAGCAATCTGTTTGGTAGTTGGTGGTGAGTTTGGTAAAGGAGCTGGTGAAACTGTTTTTTGTGTCGGTAATGCCCTTACAGTTTTATTATCCCAGTCCTTGAAATCACGCATTTGAGTATATGAATGTAGTAGTTACAAGAGAATGAAAGCCTAGCTCACTGTAAACTGATGTGTGTGTGTTAATCATTCTGATAATTAGGTCTCTAGTGAAAAGTACCTCCTTCAGGCTAATAAGAAAAGGAAGGAATACTCCAAAGCAGATGTGCGATTGCCTGAACTAAACTATAATCATCTTCCGGAACTGAGAGCTTTAGAAGGCATAGGTATGTTTATGTGCTTCTACTCCCAGCCTTTGTTTATCTTGCTAAATTGTAAGTTAAAGAAACTAACAAGGTTAAAAATGTATTAATTTGTGTACTTAAGTAGGCTAGTGTGTTCACTTGCAGTGAATAAGTACTTATACATGTGGAAAACTAATCGTTCCTAATTCTTTATGTTTTTGATTACTTTTTATCTAGCTCGAAATTCCAGGCTAATAAAGAAAGAGAACAAATCTCTCTCCGAATCTCGGATTCCCTCTCTGGCCGCCATTGACCTGCACGCTTCCAGCATTGCACTCCACCAGGTACAGAACTGCGCCCGCCGTAGACGCGGCCAGGGCTCTCTCAGACTTAGTGTGCTGTGGGGGGATTTGCCCTTAGGAATTTGGCAGGTTTCATATGATCTCTTTGGTTTATAAGTTCATTACACATGGAACTTTGTTACCCACACATTTATCGTAACACTTCTGAATCCATTCTTCAGTTTTTGAGATGGGGGCCTCTATCTTTAAACATTGTTTTGAATAAACTTTATTATAAACAACTAGCAAACAAATGAAACATTGTATCCCAAAGTTAACCAGATCAAAAACCTATACAACTCAATGAACTTCTGTACAGTTAGAATAAGCATTCAGAATGGAAGCCGTGGCACTTCCCGTGTTGAATATATTTTATGCACTTATCTACCACCCAGCCCAAAAGATCCATGCTAGAATTAGAAGTACAAAAATAATTAGCCTTTTATCATCTTTCATAACTCGTGTTTATCACCTGCATTCAGTCCTTCCTCATCCCTTTATACTCAGCCTTCTGCCAATATGTTTTCTCCCTCCCTCCCTCCTTCTCTCCCCCCCCCTCTCTCTCTCTCTCTCTCTCTCTCTCTCTCTCTCTCTCTCTCTCTCTCTCTTTTGACAGGGTTTCTCTGTGTAGTTTTGCTGCCTGTCCTGGAT